CAACAACCTACACTCAACCAGTTTTAGCACTTGCTGATTTTTTAGCTCCATCATACCTTCTGTGTTTATTAGCTAGCATGCTAATATAAGAAGGAGTTCTGCTTTCTCCTTTCATTCATTCATTCATTTATTTATATCAGCATAGATGCATGGATTTTTATTTTTCTGGTGAATTTTGATCCCTGTTGTCTTTATTCTGACCCACTTATATCAGATTTGCTGACTCCTGTGTCTTTTTGATACATCCTTATTACTTTTTGGTGTTTTCTTGCTTTCTGGTTCATCAAAATGTTTGAGGTTTATCTTACACTGTCCCTGACCTAGTCCTAGAATCATTCTTTTTTCCAAGGAGCCCTGGTTTCTTTTAGTGGAGGGAATGGTATTTAGAAACCAAGATGGTGACATTAGATGTGATCATTGCTGCTGGTATATCAGCAGGCAGAGCTAGAGAAAAAAATGCATAAATAAACATACACACCTATATTTTATTTATTTCTATGTCTACTTGCTATATTAAAAAAGAATGAATTCATACTGATACTTCTAATTTCAGTCAAACAACTCAAGATGCATTATTTTTCTTCCTCTTTTTTTTTATTGGGTGTTTTTTTCTTTAAAAATGAACCAGGCTTCCTTGTTCTTTGTCTATTTGCTAATGTGCTTCAGTCAGCTTTCTAACTCTCTACTCTAGATTTTAGTATTTTTCCCTTTAGACTATAGAACTTCTCTTAGCATTTCTTATAGTAATGTATAGTGGTAACAAATACTTTCCAGTTTTAGTATATCTGAAAGTGCCTTTATTTTGCCTGTATTTTTGAAGGATATTTTTATTAGATATACAATTCTTTTGGGAGGCTGAGGTGAATGGATTGCCTGAGCCTGCAGGTTCGAGACCCGCCTGGGCAACTTGGCAAGACCTCATCTCTACAACAAATCAAAAAATTAGCCGGGTGTGGTAGCACGCGCCTGTAGTTCCAGCTACTTGGAAGGCTGAGGCGAAAGGATCACCAGAGCCTAGCAGGTCGAGGCTCCCGGCCACTGCACTCCAGTCTGGGTGACAGAGTAAGACTCCAACTCAAAACAAAAAGATATACAATTCTTAGTTTAGGTAGTTTTCTTTCAGTTCTTTAAAAGAGTTTCCCATTTCTTTTCTGGTCTTCATTTTTCTCATGAGAGATCAGCTATCCTTTGTATTGGGTTGATGCTTAATTTCGTAGTGTTTTTCACTTGCCCTGGAATGGTTGGTCACAGTTCATCACATTTACTAATTTCAAGTTGACTGATGTGGATCATCATGGATTAAAATGTATAAACATTCTTCATCTAAGCCCAATGGTCTAACTGAACATGGAGAATCACTCAGGTCAAAGTGGCCCTTTTTGAAATGACAGAACCATTTTCTGCAGTGCTTTCCCCAATGACATTCTCCCCATGCATGGCACAAATGTTTTACGCCACCTCTACTGCCTTTACTCCTATGTTAAACTCAAACAGAAGAATATGTCAAAAGTGTTCAGTTTTTTCCGTTTGACACTCCATCTTCTTTAGCCCACAAATGGCAATAACTTTCTTCAAATCTGCAAAATGCAAGGTGTATTCACAAGCACAACATTGTCATTCCAAATGACAAATGGCAAACAATAAACAAACTCCCAACACTGTGTGTTGCCATGTGAAAAACAAATCTGCGACCTTATGCATCAACCTAGTATTTTCAAATTAATATGTTTCACCTTATATGTCATTTTTATAACAGGTGTATAAGCTTAAGGTTTTTGTCAGCTTTGGGAAATTTTAGTCATCTATCTTTAAGGATTTTTCAGCTCCATTCTCTTTGGGACTCCATATACACATATGTATACATGGTATTGTCCCAGAAAATGTCAAGACTCTGTTATATAGTTTTTGGGTTTTGTTTTTGCTTTTCAATCCTTCTGATGGATACTTTCTGTTGATTTGTCTTCAGGTTCACTGAATCTGTTGTTAAACTCATCAGTGAACTTTGTGTTTTACACACTGAATTTTTCAGTTCTGGAATTTCCACTTGACTAGTTTAATAGTTTTGCCTTTCTTTGCAGAGATTTTGTCATTATCACCACATTTTCCATTAAATCCTTAAATTCATCTATATTACCTGCTTTAAAGTGCTTGTCTATTAATTCTAACATCTGAATCATCTTGGGGTCATTTTTATTGACTGCTATTTGTCTTCACTGTGTGTTGCATTTTTCTGTTTCTTTATATGTGTAGTGATTTTTGATTGTATCCTGGGCATTGTATACATTTTGCTTCAGAGCATTTGGATTATATCCTCCTCCTCTAAAATAGGGATGAGATTTGTTCTGGCATGCAGTGAAATTACTGGCAGATCCTTTTGATCCTTATAGGCTTGGTCTTATTATTTGTTAGAGTGAATCTGTTCTAGTTTTGAGTCTTGGGGAGTACCCCTGACTATAAGGTATAGTCCTTACTCCTAAGAAGTGGTTTTTCCCTGTCTCAAATGTCTGAGCTGCTTAGTTAATTCTGTACTCTGGCGGGGCAGGAACTCTATTGTCTCTAAACACTTTCTTAGCTGGTATCACCATTTATTTAGCTCTCAGTTTGAAGCATGTAATTTTTCTAGTTCTCTCAGTTTTGTCACATACGTATCAAAAGTGACTAGCCACTCACCCTTAACATCTTTTCCCCAGTTCCCCAACACGGCCTCTGTACTTTGCTTTATGAATTCTAGCCACCTCAGAAGTTTGGATCTCTTTTCAGTTTTGTTCAGAAGTGTTGCTGGTTGGGTAGCACCTGCCTTCTCCAAAGCAGGAAAATATTCTCAGGCAGAAAGCCAGAGTTTTGTGTCAACCTTGTTTCTTTCCCCTCTGCCTTGTCTGTGGCTTTATTGTCTTACATTTTGTCTAGTCTTATCTTTGTCTTCAACAGGAGGATAAGTCTGGTACTAGATACTTTGTATGGCAAGTGTATATCCAAGGCTCTGTGTTTTTTCATTCTATCCTGTTCTCATAAATAGTGAAAAGAATAATCACAATGATACAACGTTTCACTTTTTCTTTGGTGTTTCCTTAGCCTAGAGGGGTTAGAAGTTATCTATGTCTATTGTCTTTGCACTGAGTAAATTGTTAAAAGGAAACTCTTTGAGACGCAAAGAATTTGGAACTTTACTTAAAATGAAACTTGAAGGGTATATTATTCCCACTTATTTTAATAAAGAAAGAAATCTAAGACTTCTGTTGATTTTTAACCTAATGGTAGGCAAAAAAGCTGTGAAAGCCTTCCTGATTTCCATCTGTCAAACTCTGAGTAGATAGCTTTAATTAGTTGGGTTTCATCCTCTTCTTTATAAATTGTCTTGTAATTCAAATATTTATTAACAAAATAATGGCTAAAGATGTATTTTTATTCTTCACACTTTGATTATTAGTTGGTAAAATAATTCACCATATGTCAATTTTTTATTTCTTACATCTGCCAATATTATTTTACTGTATGTTTTCTTTAGATACTTTGCAATATCTAAAGCAAAATAATAACTACTTTATTAGAAACATTCAACTGTTTTCTCCATATCTCAATTAATATAACTTTGTATTTATAGAAAAAGCAAAAATACAGTAGTGTTTATAATATAAAGTATTTATACTCATTTTCCAGCATTTTATACCTGCTTTTGAAATTATCTTTAAAGTCAAATTTGGCTCTCTCAGGAGAAGATCGGCCTCATTTCTGACCCCAATTGATAGAATCTAGTGTAATCACCTACACGGCTTGACTGTGACTAATTTATTAAAAAAAAAAATAGAAATGCCCTTCAAAAGATGAACTTTTCCAGTGTGGCTATTCCATATTCTCTGAAGGGAATTCCAAATGCAGAGTTTTTGAGGCAGCGATGCTATTATTAGGCTGAGCATGTAACTTCCCAAGGCTATTGCTTTGAAGGGAACAGCATTCCTTTAGATGTTTATGTTCTGGAATGTTTGTTTCCATTCTAATCTTACCTCATGTAGTTGTTTCTGTTGATTTCCTGTATTATGGTTTCCCCCTTACCAACAAGATTTACTTTCAACTGTAATAAGCTAAAAATGATCACGTTTGATACCTGTAGTCTTATTTGTTAGTGAATTGTTTCATATTTTTTAGCAAATGTGTTTAAGTTCCGGTGCTGAGAATGCAGTAATGAACCACCCAAACAAACAAAAAACCAAACATCATAGAGTTTTCAGCCTAATTTTAGATGTCTCCAGTCTAAAGTTTAATGAAGAATTAAACTTTGCTTTTCTTTAGCCATATTTAGAACTTTTACACCTTTCAAAAATCCTTTGTGATTATTGGATGTATATAATGTACCTTGTAAAAGGGGGAAAAGATTGAAAAGGTTAAGGAATTGTTTATATTCTGACTCAGTCTGCACATCTTTTTTATATATGCAAAAAAAATGAAATTCATACAGACACTTGAGATAGAAGTACAGAATACTGAGGAAATGTGAAAACATCCATTATAAGGGAAGTCAAGTCATTTATTAGAAAGGTTGTTCTGAAGGTGGTAGGTTTTTAGAAAAGGTTTTATAGCAGAGACACTTTCCTTTGGATGGCACAGGAGAATAAAGTAGTGAGACAGAGACAGGCAAATTGTGTTATGGAGTGGAGAGTTGCCACTTTTTCCTGAATTGAAGTACAGCTTTCTAAAGTGGTTAATAGTTTGAATTTGAATTTCGATTATTTCTGACCATTTGTTGGAGTCTGTATTCTTTTCCTCATAAATGCTAGCTGCTAAACAAAAGAAAAAATTAAATTTATCTTTGCCAAAGATGATGTACTTATATGGTTTGCTGCCCTTTATAATGATAAAATTGTTACTCAGAGTAAGAAGGTAAGTCAAAGGTTAGATGGTTAGATTTCTGCAATCTAATAAATCAGAGAAATTAAATCAATCTTTGAACAGGTCCATTATTAAATTGAATTTCTTTTCTTCATCTTTTTTTTTTTTTTTACTAGGATCCTCGGTTCAATGCAGAAGTTGATCAAATTACAGGCTACAAGACACAAAGTATTCTTTGTATGCCAATTAAGAATCATAGGGAAGAGGTAAGTCAGTTTTCTCTTTTACAAAATGTCATTTGGAAATGTTTTTCTTTCTGAAAAGAATGTCTATATACTTTGCACATATACAACAAATGCTGTAGTAATCAGTTAGCTATAAAGAAGTTAAATGTTCTACTTGATATTTTTTATTTAGATTTTAGTTATAGGGTTGAATTCTTATGAAGACTTTACTATGGCCTTTGACTTAGAAATAAATTTAATACATGTCATTTTCTATCCCCCTCTTTCCCTGAAGGCCTTGTTCTGTCTTAAGATATATAATTATGGTTGTAATTAGAATCAGTTTATTTCATACTATATTTTAAGTGTATGAGTAATCCTTATTTTATAAATGGTCATCCAATTTCAGGGATCATCTGCTGATTTCTTTGGATTCAAACTGAGGTTTTAAAAAATGGAAATTGTCGCTACTTCTAATTGTGTAAATTTCAATCTGAAATTATAACAGGTAATTGAAAATATGTTGGTTTACATTTCACCTAATTAGAACATTCAGATTCTGTTAGCACTGAGTCCTTTTTTATTCTACCCTTATTTGAAAAAAGTTCCCCCTCCCCTACTTTGGGGAGATGAATTTCTTCTTTCTCTCTTTCTAATTTACTTTCTAAATAAACTATATGTTCTAATCTAAAAAAAAAAATGTTAATAAATCATCAATTAAACTGAATATTTCAAAGCTTTCTTAATTTTGACTGTATGTTACAACCAACTGGAAAATTCTAAAAGATGAGGGAATTTATCATGGGAATTGGCTCATGCAATTACTGAGGCCAAGAATCCCACAATGTGCCACCTTTGGGCTGGAGAACCAAGCCTTTGGTGTAATTCAGTGAGTCCTGAGGCCTGAGAACCTAGGGGGGAGGGGTGGTCACTGGTGTGAGTTCAAAGGCCTGAGAATCTGGAGTTCTGATGTCCGAGAGGAGGAGCAGATGGATGTCCCCATTCCTGAGGAGAGAGTGAGTTCACTCTCCAGCTTCCTTTTTGTTGCGTGAGGGCCCCTTAGGGTTGGAGGATGCCCACCTACACTGATAAGGGTAGGTCTTCTTTACTCAACCTACTGAATCTCAAATGCTAATCTCTTCTGAAAACATCCTCACAGACACACCCAGAAATCTTGTTTTACCAGCTATCTGGGTATAGCATTTAAAAACTCTAATGCTCCGAGTTCACCTTAAATCATAATCTCTGGGGTTGGGACCCAGGTTTCAGTATTTGTTAAAGCACCCAAGTGATTACAATGTGGGTCCAAGGTTAAGAACCACGGCCAATCATAGTAGAAGTACTTGATGCCTCTACTTGATTTATATTTACATTCTTACATCTTTCTATTCCTTCTCCAGCCTTCTGTTCCCAAGTCCTATTGATTTTTTTCCATTAGAGTTTTTCTCATTTCAGTGCTTTTCTTTTCATTGCTGCTGCCTGAACCATAACTCAGACCTTGAAGTAATGCCTGAGATTTTAAAATTTTCTCATAAGGAGTTTCTTTATTTTTAGTCAATTTCCCTTTAATTCATTTTGTATATCAGTGCTCTGGGAATTTTAGTAAAACACGACTTTCTAAATCAGTGCTTCAGAAACATTATTGTGCATAGGTGTCACCTGGGGATCTTGTTAAAATGCAGATTTCTTATTCAGTAGGTCTAGGCAGACATTGGAATTCTTTTCTAGCAAGTACAAAATTGATCATGCCCTCAGTCTGCAGATCACAATTTTGCTAATAAGGTCCTAAGTCAGTTACTTCTCAGTGCCTTGGAGTTGCCACATGATTTCTTAAGAGGGTGGTTCCAGCAGTAGTTATTAAAAATACCTGCAGTGGCCAAGCTCGGTGGCTCAGCCTGTAATCCCAGCACTTTGGGAGGCTGAGGCGAGTGGATAGCCTGAGACCGCAGGTTTGAGACTAGCCTGGGCAACTTGGCGAGACCGTGTCTCTA